ATACATACATACATACATACATACATACATACATACATACATACATACATACATACATACATACATACATACATACATACATACATACATACATACATACATACATACATACATACATACATACATACATACATACATACATACATACATACATACATACATACATACATACATACATACATACATACATACATACATACATACATACATACATACATACATACATACATACATACATACATACACATACATACATACATACATACATACATACATACATACATACATACATACATACATACATACATACATACATACATACATACATACATACATACATACATACATACATACATACATACATACATACATACATACATTACATACATACATACATACATACATACATACACATACATACATTACATACATACATACATACATACATACATACATACATACATTACATACATACATACATACATACATACATACATACATACATACATACATACATACATACATACATACATACATACATACATACATACATACATACATACATACATACATACATACATACATACATACATACATACATACATACATACATACATACATACATACATACATACATACATACATACATACATACATTACATACATACATACATACATACATACATACATACATACATACATACATACATACATACATACATACATACATACATACATACATACATACATACATACATACATACATACATACATACATACATACATACATACATACATACATACATACATACATACATACATACATACATACATACATACATACATACATACATACATACATACATACATACATACATACATACATACATACATACATACATACATACATACATACATACATACATACATACATACATTACATACATTACATAAATACATACATACATACATACATACATACATACATACATACATACATACATACATACATACATTACATCATTGCATTAAATTACAGTACATTACAATACATTACATTGCATGCATACATACGTGCATGCATGCATGCATACATACATAGATACATACATACATACAGTACATACATACAGTACATACATACATACATAACATACCATTACATTACATTACATTACATTACATTACATTACATTACATTCTTTACATTACATTGCATTGCATTACATTACACACATACATGCATGCATACATACATGCATACAATACAATACATACATACATACATTCCATTAGATACATGCATTACGTTTCATTACATTACATTGCATTGCACTGCATTCCATTCCATTCCATTACATTACACACATACATACATTACATACATACAGTACATTACATTACATTACATTACATTACCGTACACACATACACACATACATAACATAACATTGAATTACATTATTACATTACATAACATTCATTCCGTTACAATGCTTTGCATCACATTACATTACACACATACATACATACATAACATAACATAACATTACAATACAGACCATTACATTACCATACAGACATTCCATTGCATACATACATACATACATACATACATACATACATACATTAGATTACATTTCATTGCATTCCATTCCATTCCATTACAGTACATTACATTACATTGCATTACATTGCATTACATTGCATACATACATTGCATTACATTCCATGACATTTCAATGCATCACATTACATACACATATTACATACATACATTAAATACATACATTTCATACATACATTACATTACATTACAACACATTGCATTACAGTACAGCACACTACATTGCATTACGTTACATTACATTACATACATACCCACGATGGTGGCAGCGGACCAGATTGTCCCTCCGCTGGAGTCTGACTTCCAGGCTTCTGGAAAACTCCGGCGAAGGCCAGAAAAACCGGACGGCATGAGCAATTCTTTTTGTGCCAGCAGCCAAAGGGACACCCTGCGCCAATCACGGATGCACCGCGATGACAATGCGAAGGGGGCTTCCCTTCAAGTCAGCTCCCAAAACAACGGTGGTCCTTTTGTCCCACAGCCACTGGAATTTTGAAATTATTGGACCCTTTGAAGGGATCAGGATCTTTCCTGGAACGTTGTGGACCTCAAGTTGGCCTTTTTGAGGTGCCAGGATGCTTAGACGTAAGCAGTTGTTGATATGGGGGGAAACAGACGGGAAGGCAGGCTCCCCATTTTGCATTCGCTGTTACAGCGGCCTTCAGGATCTCAATTCACGGGAGGTTGCTGGAAGCTCGACAAAACGGATCTGGGCAAAGCTTTTACTTTGCCAGACCGGACATGAAGAAACTCCGCAACCTTCACGGTTGAGCTCCACTTTCGAGGTGACCTCATTACAAGTTGCCCAGAAAGGAACCACAATGCGCAGCTTCGGGGCTGCAATCGCAGACTTGCGAGTTGCTCTTAGATCACTGGTACCACTTTGGTCATAAGATGATGGCTTGCGAAACCAGTGTCGCTTGCGACATGGCCATGGTTCAAAAGCCCGTACCCCCAGTGAACATCCCAATCCCCACTAACATAGGTACTAAAATGGGTGGTGAATTCACCTACCCCAAAATGGGCTCCCAAAACGGTTTTGACAACCACAGCCACATCTCCAAGCAGTCAGTCCAGCCCTGTCTTGAAGTGAAATTGCAGCTTGTTGACACCAAGTATCCAAACGCCTCTCGTGACCCTGGGCAACTTTTGTCCATGAGACCAGCTCTTTGCAAGCGGCGTGCTTTGCCAAGAGGCACTTTCCAAGACAACCTCTTGCATTCCTCGCACAGGCTAAGACGCTAAGAGGTCCTATGCGGATCACGTTTCTCTTGGGCGAATGACTTATTCGCTATCAAGAAAAAAGGAACCACAGCAAGCTGCAGTGCATGCCTGTGCGGTTCGATCCCTGGAGTTCTGAAGTTGATGAGCTACATCGGGAGTTTGGCGTCACGAATGAAACAAATGAATCGCCTAGCTTCACCCGTCCCATGGCGGGACAACCTGGCTTTGGGCTATTACATGTTGGTACATGCATGAACAGCAAGACTCCAGTATCAGTAGCATGTTTGCCTCAGGGATCAACAAGATAGACATGGACAAGCGCTGAAGATAATGTCCAACAAACCCACACAGAACTGGGTGGTGCGCCTTGGCTTGCCGTTTGCTCATCCCTGATTGCACATGATCTGCATTTAAGCTCGTTTGACTTTTCCAGTGTGGGTCAATATTAAACCACAAAATAATCCACCAGGCGACCGCAGTGTTTGCATTTACCAGGGTTGCATTTTGGGTACCTATTTTTGACCCACAGCCACATGATCTTAGGCACTTTCTCACCTCAAGGATCGTCAGCGGCTCGCAGAAGCCACCGCTGAATTATCAAACCGCCCTCTGCGGGCAAGGAAATACTTGAAGCGCATGCCAAGGTTCTCCTGCAACCCTCGTTATTGACACCAATGGTGATTCCCTCAGCTTCTGGTGCTCCAATGGTTCCAAACATGGGAAACAAGACTGCGAAAAACCGCAGCCAAGCTTGTTGTCGATGTCATTCCGAACACTCACGTCTTTACGGCACGACTTCCTGGCGCCCGGCCCGTGACACCCGCTCTTTGAGAGCTGCTCGCGCTATATGTCTTAGACAAGAATATAGCGATGAGCGGCGTGGAGTGGAGCTAGCAATCACGGAAACCGCTCATGCGTTGAGTGAGGTTGCGCTGGAAATCCTCGCTCAAAGCTTGATCACTTGCATGTCTCAAAATGTGTGGTCGACTTTGAGTTTTCCTTTGAATCAACCCCAAAAAAAGGCACCCTCAACGCAGAGACATCAAACACCTCCAGTAGGAACTAAATATCAGCATTCCAATGCCTTCCAGCTGTGTCCGAAGCAGCAGGCATTTGAAGCAACTTTGGCAAGTTCTGCACGTACTCCGGTTGCTTTTGAGGGAGACCATGATCTGGAGGGGTGGCAGAAACTTGCATAGATGCTTCACTGACATTAACACGCCGATGGGTGAAGTGAAAAACAAATCCACTGTCAAGTTTCCACTTAGACTGCTTCTGAAACGCAATCAGGGCGCAATCGATTCACCTGGTTTATTAAACCTGCAAGTATACTCAAGAGTCAAAGAGAAAATAAAGCTAGATTTGGACGGGTTTGTCTCAAAATGCGGGGAGGGGGGGGACCGACAATTCAAGACACAAATGCAGCCGAGGCGCCCTTGCCTAATTTGGACGTGGAGTATGGCCCTCGCTGCCTTCCCGATAGTTTGTAGCTTTGATGTGCCGGAACCTGAGCGGGCAAATGGAAGGGCAACTGAGCGCCTGTTTCCTTCGGAGCTCGTAGGGCCATGCCAAAAAAGGCAGAAGACCATTTCTCCTAAAGCGGGCCAGTTGGACCAACAAACCAGGATCAAACGATGCTTTGAATCTGTAGCATTCAATTTGGCCGGCTGAGTTTTTCCGGCTGGCTGACTGGCTTTGTTGGTGGCTGGCTTGGTATCCGGGAAGGATGGAAAGGATTGGGAGTGATGAAGGGAATAGCAGGGAATGGGAAGATGGGTTGCAGTTTGGACATGGATGCGGCATAGTCCTTCCTGCCATCATCCACACTCCGCTGATTCCGTTCCACAAGTTGGCAACCCTCCTTCCCAAAGTGGAGGGGCGGGGCAGGGACGCAGGTCACAGAGCGCAGCCTGGGTGGTCTAAGCTTGAGCTTCGCAGGGAGTGAGGAAATGACCCTACCATCCTTCTTGCTTCCAAAACAGCTGGCCAGCAGGACCACCCGCCGTGGACAAAAACCAGATCTCACGTTTTAGGGACACATGACGAGCAAACGGATCCCTGCCCCCACCCTGTGCGAAACGGGCTCCAAAACACCTGCAAACCTATGGTTCTTTTGGCGTGCTCATGTCTCCACATCCGAGGTCCCCGCACTGAGTGGTCGAAGACTTGCTGCACGGAGGCCCTTGAGGGATCATCTGCAGCGTCCGCGGATTCCAAATGAGGTAGGGCGCGCAGCACCCGCTCGAAAAGCACCTGGCACAAGCACGAGAACTGATCCGGGTACTCTCTCTCTCTCTCTCCCTCTCTCTCTGTCTCTCTGTCTTTGTCTTCCTTCTTATGTTTCCTCCTTTTTGGTTGTGTTCCTCTTCCTCATTCTCTTCCTTTGGACTGTTCCTTTCTCTTCCTTTTGTTCTCCCCCATTTTTGCCTGTTTCACTTATAATAATCCTTATCCATCCTCTTCTTTTGGTCCCTTTCCCCTCTCTCTTTCGACCGTGGACAAACCGTAGACAATTCGCGCAAAGACCACAAAAAGGCGTGGAAAGGCGATGTTGTGCTTCGTGTGCTGGGCTGGTGGCGAGCTGCGCGCGCAGTCTTTTCCCATTTGCTCCAGTGGTTGCACCCGTTGCATGCATTGTTGAGGCTCTGTGCAAAAACATATTGACGAAACACTGGGCGCGCAAGGCCTCTCAGAAAACCGCAAGCTACCTACTTCAGTGATTCAGGCAGCCAAATTGCAGTTTGAGCATTGGCGACTAAATTGGCGAGCTTAGCCCGTTGGGCGAAACATATTGCCCTACATGTCCCCAGAAACAAAATAACGGCCAAAGGTAGAATTTTGATAAAACGCGCACAAAGCCTCATGGTTGAGCCACCTCGACCACGCTGTAGTCTTTGCAAGACCAGGGAACGGTAACAGAAGTGTCATGCTTGAGTATTTTGGGCCAGGCACACACATATAGCCCCTTGCCCAACATTTTGTCTAGCTACCTCAATACTGCTTAAGGCCTTTGGAAGGCCAGGAGCTACGGAAGTGTCTGGTCTTTGACTTTAGGACTCCTGTCTTGCAACACCTCCTTGGTCGGGTACTTCCCACTGGATCTACCCAGGTTTGGGAGAAGCTTGGCATACCAACGGGAGTCTGGAATCACTATCAAGGAGACCATGTTGTCCAATTAAAAAGACTGCAGCAATTTAGGAACAACTTGGCCGCCTCCGCGGGAAGGAAGGAAGCCGTCCAGGCGAGCTTGTGAAGGTGTAATTCTTAAGATGCAGTCTACCCCACTCCTCAAGTTTGCTCCGCATGGAGATTTCCTCTTTGGCGCCGACCTCCAACCCCAACTTCTCTCCAATCTGAAGGTCTCTTCAATCTCGGCTCGCTCGCTCGCGGGCCGAAACCCAACCCGCACATGCCAACGCGCAGGCACGCGCCTCGAGCTTGGTCTCCACGCGCCAAATGTCCAGAGCCTTGGCATTGCCACGGAGCCTCCCGGCGCCTTCGATGAACTCCATGAGCCTAGGCTGGGAAGAAGGGGGCTGAAAAAGAGCCATTGGTTTGTATTCTAAACAACCACATAGCTTGACTTGGATGCCCAACATCTCATGTAAGTGCCAAAACCTGCATGCTCAAAGCCCAATATTGGATTGTTTTTTTGTGAACCCTCATTTCCTTGGTTGAAGACCAGAACGAATGCAATCCACCCATTTCGGGTGTTACCCCGTGTTGAAACATACCAATATATGTTTGCTCGTGCCAAGAGAGACTTGGTGTCCCTCAGCATCACCCAACAACAAACCGCAATGGCCAACCAGGCGCTGCTACCAGCTGCGTGAAGCGCATAATCGGTTTCACGTTTCACTGGATCGATTCCCCGTGATTGGGATTGTGCCGGCTGGTAGCGGTGTCAAAAATGCAGCAAAACTCACTCAAAGCGAAGCATCATTGAAGGACGGGGATGTAGGCACACAACTTTGAGTGGAAAGGTCCGATCGGACTAAATGGTGGGGTGACAACCCAAACAAGCCAAGAGACATGCCAGTGACATCGAATCACAGATGGGGCTTAGGGCCGCAGCTCTGGAAGGGCAGGGACTGGAGCTTGGCCCCGACTTTCTGTTTTGGCGGGCTGAAGCTTATCTCAGATGCCCAGTGGCCATGGGAAAAAAAGGTACCCTTTTCTTGTTGGTTGAGTTTAAAGGGGCACCCTTACCCAAACAAAGGAAAACGGGCACAACTGGGCAACAGAGTTATCAGGAGATGTCGAAAGTTGTGCTACTAGCACAGGCCATCCTGAAATACCAAGTTGTGCACCTGACCCCAAAAAGCCCGGCCGGTTGCGCATCGGTACCTCGACTGTCCTGAGAAGTCGGCATGGTCTCGGGCTGCACTCGCAGGCGCACACAGTTGCACGTCCGTACTGTTCTGCTTGTTACCAAACAAACTGACAAACAACATGTTGTGATTGCTCGACGTTGTTATTCACAACGCAAGTGTTAACCTCAATCAATGCTGGACATCTCAAATTCCTTGCTCCCGTGCCGCGCTTGACCTCCTGATTGTAAAAGGGGCTGTAACCATTGTAACCCAAGCATTTTGAAGTGTATCCCATGTCTACCAAACGGCACCTTGGCGAAGGGCGCCGTGGTTTTCTGCCCTTAAAACCTATATGCCAGCGCCGACTCGAGAGAACAAGCACGGATTCGAGAACGCGATGCTGCCATGTCTTAATCAGCCATGAGCACTTCGTCCGCTCGGAGGCTCGTTAGACCGCCTCAAGAGCCGAGAGGCGTGATCTCTCCATCGCCGTTATCCTGAGCCAATCGACTGCACAAATGAATCTGCCTCGCCGTCTTGGGGGAGTTTGCTTGCACCCCAACATCCATCCTCTTGATACCGGGTCCTCCAAGCCCTAAGCCCCAGGAAAGGGTGCGCGACATCCAAGCACTAGACATGAGCCCCGCATCATTCATGTTGGCGAGGTGACAAACTGCCAACCATGTTGGGGGTCACGGAAACAGCAACTCAAAAACGAACCTAAGGCAAGCGGCCAGGAATTCGAACAAGCTCAGCAGGTCGTGGTATTCGAGCTCCAGCTGGCTCATCCAAAACTTCAGCTTTGGACTTTTCACCAACTTGGCGAACCTCACGTGCCACAAGAAAGCGCTCCGCAACCCAAGGTGATCACCTTGTCACAAGTCCAAAACAAGAACCAATGTTCACCCTAGGATTTTGGATGGCTAAAGGTCCAAGCACTGATTTTCGGAAACCAATAACACGAGCCATGTTTTTTTTTGCGCCTTACCCAAACCAACACGGGAAAACAACGGCAAACAAAAGGTCAAGAGTTCATCTCGATTCTGAGGAACTCCTCCAAATTGATGGCGCCGTCCCCTGACCGCAGTGCTACGAAAGCAGGGAGGGGGGCATGGCAGGGAAACAACAGCTACGCGTTGGGCTTGCTGAACATGATGTCACAGTCTGCCTAGGGACCCATAGAAGGCTTGATATGTTGGATTTGGAATAAGAGGAGGCCCTTACTCACCTCCAGCGGAAAAAAAAGGGGATCTGCTAAGATCCTTCGCCCTCAAACCGGGCAAAATCTCAAGACCGGCCAAAAGCCTTTTGGGTGCTGCCGGTCTGGCTACATCCTGCGACTTGCCACGGATTGCTTCGTCTTTGGGCCACGCGTTTGTCTGAGTACTCTCCTTTGCCTGCTGGCCAAACCCATGGATCAATCAGCTCCATTTATCCCACTTTGAAGGAGGCCATCTTCCAACCAATATGGACCCCCACATGTGGGATAGTTTGCAAGGAACACGAAGGCGAATCTACCAAAATGGCGTTGCTTGTTGACAAAAAACTTGTGACCACCCCCCCTGGGCGAACTCAACAGTGAACCCTTCGGCGCTACCAACCGTGAAGGTCCTTCTGCTTTGGTGGCTACTTTACTCGAGGCCCGACCAGCCTGATGTTCTGCTTGAAATAGAATCAGGGTTCAGTGCTAGCCCCACTCCCCAAAACTGGCGATGCGGCAGAAACCAGCCTGATGCATCCATGGTCTGGAACAAACCTCGCACCTTTCGAGTGTACAAGGCGATGTCCTCGGCACAGGTAAGAAAAAGACGCCGGCCAAGTATCATGGGCCTCAAGGGGGGGCCATGAGGACGGGGGGCTGCCTTATTCATCTCGTAATACGACCTTAAGGGCTTATCCTTAGCGTATCAAGCGATAGCCCCACCCGCCCATTGTCCCCCCACCCCCCGGCTTGGGGTCCATAAAAGGGTGAAGCTCGAACAACAAGCTCGAACAACAATCCCTTGAAACGTGGAGCTGGCGACATCTCGATCCAGTTCAAGACGGGTGTTCCTTCTGGTGTCTCATTACAAACAGATCCACACCGGGGGAAGTCATCATGTACAACCAAGACGAAGGTTCCTGGTGACATACTATATCCAACTATGTTTGTTCATTTACCTCTCAGACTTACCTGTTTTGTTTTTTACACATATTGAAACAGCTGGCACTTCGAGAATGCAGCGTACTGTGATGGGTGTGAATACTGGCCAACTCGATGATTGCTCACAAGAACTTGCAAGGAACAACAACCAACATGTGCCTCGCATAGTATCAAGCATGAATGCCCGACAAGAACCGCACAAAAAGCAATGGGCGACCAGTAAACACAGACCATTCGGCAAAAACAAAGACATTTGGGACAACGAAGCGATGTCCCGAAAACGTTGTCGCATGTCACTAGTTCACCACTTCAAGCGGTACAGGGCTCAAGACTCAAACATTTTACAGGAACCCCAGGACTTCGGCAGACAGGCGGTTGGAATCAATATCAATTCAACGGACACATACATGTTACATATTGCATTGAAACCCAAGTGCAAACGCATCCCTCGAGGTACTCACATCACCACTAAGATCTATGGTGTTGATCTAAACGGACCCATATACGCGTTGGGGAAAGAAGTCTGCAGCACAAAACAAATGGGATAGCTCAACCTGTTGCTTCAGCCATAAATGAGAACTTGTCCAACAGCACCTTTAGTACCTCACAAGAAAACTTATCATTCTATGCAACATCATGTATACATGCATATTACATCATGTTGTTAATACATATAAATCAATAAATAAATCAATATGTATATAACAAATATATATATATATATATATATTACACGTACGAAATACTGCTTGAGGTCTTCTGATGCCCTACAGTCGCTCCTTCTCCTTCTGCTTGAAGGCGAGCTCCTCATCTGTGCTGGCTGTCTTCATGGTCTGCTGAACGAAGACCGCGTTGACCTTCAGCGTGTGTGTGCGTGTGTAGACGTTGAGCGTGTGGCAGCCCCAAAGTGAACTGCACACGGAAGTGGGCCAGCGGAAGCTGACCCACCCACCCAAACAAGGGCACTCAAGCAACACATGGAGATTGCCCACCAACCACCAACCAGCCAGAAGTCCTTTTGGAACAGGCCTACACAAAGCGTCCAAGAAAACCATGCACAGAACAAGCTTTTTGGTCAAGAGCAAAATGACACCCCGTTTGGCTCATTGCTTAGAGGGAACTCGCCTCAACAAGGGCGCCACGACCAGTTAGCTGGTGTGAAGAGGGCCGTTCACGCTGCGTGCTGAAAGGATTGAGAGCAAAATAATAGGGCAATTTACTATTCAGAAACCGGAAACAAGGAAGATTCTAGTCACGGACCTTCATGTCCGGCTGACATAGCCTAGGCTAGCTCGTTACAATACAATTCATGCAAGTTGCCAAAACAAACAACTTTCAGCTTGCCACGAACATGGTCTTCGCAAAGAGAGATATAGCGTACCAGTTTAACATCCAGGAACCCGGCACCTGCGCCAAGAAATGTGGAAAGCGGAAAGCAACTAAGTGCAAGGCCACGTTGAGAACGGCAAAGCCTGGCATGGAACGAGGGAAACCACCAAAACGGCCCCTACTGCGCAGGAATAACATTTTGCATAGGGGTTCATTTAGTTCAACCGGGGCCGGAATTTTGTTCAGGGAGCGGCTCTTTTTCAACCGTGGCGTTCTGAAAAAGAACTCCCACGCTTCCATCTGTGGGGCCCATGCGGAAACCAGAATCCCACACCACGGCTCAAACTGAACGAAAGCACCCAGATAATTAATTGCGGGCAGCTGTGCAAAGTATAACTCGCCAACCAGTGCATCATGAATCCATGTTCGAACTCTCCTTTGGAAGTAGCTCTCGCTATGTGCAGGAGTTCTCATCATGCATGTGCGAGGAAGTGCCATATAGCTTGAACATGGTCTGTTTGGGTCAGCACTGACCCGCATGTCTAACTTCCGAGCCACTCCGCCACACTGGACACTGCCCCTCCTTGCGGCTCCAAAACAAGCTTCCAACTGAGGCAGTCTTCAAACTGGAAGTCCAACTCGCTAGTTCAGAAGCTGAAGAAAGAACGACCTTTGCGAGCAGATTACATGGGGTCGACAAGGGGAGGGCTGTTAGCCGACAAGCTTCTTGCATTTATGGCAAGCACCAAGCCAACTGGGGGGGGGGGGTGCGGGGTCCTTTTTGACTCAGCCAACAAGTTGAAATTAGAGTATGTGCTAAACGCTATGGAAACAATGCCACACACTCTGAATTCAAGCCTTGTGCAAGTACCCTTGCACTCTTGCCATCTCAGAAGCTGAATGCAACGGCTTCATGAAACGATGTGCCTACTTGGGAAATTATTGACCATTGTTTTGCACTTGGTGTTGTACGGCCAACAACTCCCTCCGAAGTTCTCTGAACATATGCAGCTAATCTAACATATGTTTGTTCCTGCAAATGAGTCGTGACCTAACCTCCACAATGAATGTTGCATTCGCAGGCCCTAAAGCTCCAGCGTAGCTTTTTGCGACTCCAGTTCAGCGGGTGGAACACATCCCTTTCAGTGGGAACCCATGCGAGTTTTCAGTTTTGCCTGGCAGCCGGTTTCCTTTTCAGAGGCTTCCCTTGCCTTGTGGCAGATCCGCAACCCGCCCTGCCTAGCACGCATCGGTAGAGGAGGAAAAGCACGGAGAACCACTCGCTGATGTTCTCGACCAAGAGGCGGCAGGGCGGGCCCCAATTTGCAAATAAAATTTCCTTTGTGGTTCATCGATCCGTTGCAAAAAGCTGAGCTTTAAGTGGGCTAGTTATTTCACAAATCCCTTTAAACGCGAAAAAAACATCACATGAAAAAGTCTGAAGGTATGGCTCGGAGCCGAGTTTCGAACATCGTGAGAAATGTCCGGCTGAAAGTACCAAAGTACCTTGGCTGCTCACAAAAAATGTATCGGCCAAAGGTAGCAAGGCGAATACCTGAGAAACGAAACAAAGATGCAGGCCTTGACAATAGCAGCCCCACGTGGAGCCGCGGGACGGCCCGCCACTCTGTGGGCACAACAAAGGATCACCCGCAAACACACACCGTTGAGAAACACACCACCATTTTGGAGGTGTGCTTGGGGGGGGTGGTGGTTTGGGTGGTCCTGGGAAAAACTATTTGAACAAATAAGAAGAACATGTTGGTTCCCTGTCATCGCCGATTCAACCCTGACCATGACTCGAAGTGGAACAGGAAAGTTATGCCTGGCCAGAGGTTCTGCAATTGGTCAATGAGCCGGTCAAATTGATGGTCCCCCAATGACATGGACATTTGGTGAGTAGCCCCGCCTCTAAATGCTGTTTTTTTATGGGCCATCTCATCTACTAAACTACCGTAGTAGGTCCCGGTGAATACTGATCACTACTGAGTATGGTGTGGAGTGCCATCATTGCTGCATGAAGGCAAACATCTTAGCCGGAGGCCTTCAGGGAATCAAATACGTGCCGGTGACCCATGCACGCGCGTCCAGTAAAATCCCCGAAAGCCAAACCCATTTGCAAAGCGATATGTTCCATGCCGTCCGAAGCAGGTAACTTTGCCTGAATCGCGAATGGTGGTTTCAAACCCTTTCAAAGCGAAAACTGAAGCACCGAGCCGTTTACTATGCATATGCATATTTGTAATCTCATCTATGTGCAAAATTATAACACAAGTGGCTGCGTCTCACATTGAAACAGCCTCAAAATGGGCGGCTTAGCCTGCGGGGGGGGGGTCTGGTTTTTGCCTGTGTGTGTGTTGATTCCAGACATCCACTCACGTGCAACGCCGTTCGCCATTGGCTGAGACTCTCGGTTGCCAAGGAGAAGAGTCCATTGAGATTTTCACTTGCAAGCCAAACACTGCCTATTTACATATTTGGTCCTCTTCAACCTCCTCTACATATTCTTGCATCGGAGTAGGTTCTGGGGATATTGAGGCCCCCTAATTCAACCTCAATTGCGGGTTTTCCGAAAGCAAGTTGATGTGGCCAAGCATGTATTGACCCGTGAGATGTGTGACCTCTAGCTTGCTTCCATAGAGGCAACTGCAAAACCTGAAGATGTTACTCATCAAGACTATGTGCTAACCTCCGGCGAGAGATACAAACTATTGAACAATGACTGACTGGCATCACCCCAAACATTTCGGATGAGAGAACAAAGAAGATACGCCAACGTGGGTCTAAACTTAAATTTGTGCCCAATGATGAATTACCAACATATTGATAAACGATTCTTTTCTTCCAGATGCCAACAAGAGGTTCAATCTTTGTGATGGGACTCACTTCAATGGGCATTCCGTTTCCTTCCGTCTCCGATCTGGACACTCCGGAATTTCTCCCCATGATCAACTGGATAGACAATGTCTTTCGGATTTCAATTCGTTGGGCAGCACAAAACCCTGCGCGTAAAATGATTACTGCTCAGCCGCGTTTGCAAGTTTGGGGCGCTAAGATTGCCAAGCCAAGTAGGTTGCAACTGCTTCTGCTGCTAAAAAATGAGCCCCCTGGATGTGTCGTCCAATTACTGAGCAAACTTGTGCGATAAAGAAAGCCTTCTTGACCAGAAGTGCACGCTAAGAAAAACAGGGGCTCAATTTCTTAGCGGATTTTTCGGGTTATGAAATTCAGAGGCTCAATCTCTTAGCGGCCTTTTCGGGTGATGAAGGACTCCTTTGCTAGGAGATTCATGGGCTCAATTTCTTAGCGGTCCCCCTGCTAAGCAACTCAGGGTCCCATTTTCTTAGCAGGCTTTCGAGTGACCTAAGAAAACTCAGGTCGTTAGTTTCTTACCTTTCCGGGCTTCAGGGGAGCAATTTCTTGGCGGAACCCGGTGCAACGAAACGCTAGCAGGTTGAGTTGTTGTAGTGATACCACACCCACCCTCATTGGTTCAATCTCCAGCGCGCGCAGTAGCATTTTAGGGTTTGATATTGAAGCAAGGGACCGCAAAGGCCGCTAAGAAATCGAGCCCCTGAAGTTCCTAGCCAAGGAGTCCCTCATGACCCGATAAGGCCGCTAGGAAATTGAGCCCCTGAACTTCTTAGCAGACAAGGTTAAGAAATTGGCTAAAAGTCCAGCATAAAAAAGCTGCCCTTTTAAGGACGAAGTTGACACTAAGAAATGCCGCGACCAACCGAATTCTTATACAGCGCTCGCACTGTACGCCGCAGTCAGGCTTTCTGAGCCGAGTGGTTGAGGCACTCCAGTGGCAATTATCCCCACAGAAAATTCGTATGCCATGAGTGCAAAGACATGTGGGCCCACTCATGCGCAATACCGTTCGCCATTGGCTCTAGCCTGGTGTGTGTATGGGACTTTAGATCGCCAAGAAAGAAGTATTTGCTGCCTGCTCCGTTACAGCATTGCGTTGACATTTTGATTTCTACTTGGAAACCAAACACTGCCTATTTACATAGTTGGTCCTCTGCATACTTTTGCATAGGATGGGTCCCTGAAGACATCTTGAGGCTCATTGGATTGGACCCTAGTGGGGCTCCCCATTTCCACATTCTCCTGATGTCATCAGGAGGACTGGTAAACTCAAAACCACCCCGCAAAACCCCCAAAAAAGGCGCGTTCCCCTCAATGATTCAACTCCCTCCCTGTTTCACAGATCCAGTACCTACAGGCAACCAGTGAAACCAGCCAACAAACACCTAGCCAAGAATATGCTGGTTGCCCATACAAGCATACGGAATCAATAAATATAGAATAACAAATGAGGCCGTTGAGCAGTTTGGTGTTGTTGGCAATTTTACGAGTACCCAAAAATGATCCTTTCCTTGCCTGGCGACAGGAACACGTCCTCCCGCGCTTGCGCCTCGTTCATCTCTGAGGCGATGAAATCCTCCGTGTGGAGGCGAGCGGGGTATGCGAAAGGTGCGCAGAAGCAACATACACAATATGAACTGTTGTAACATCGTGGGGCATCATTCGCCTGAGACCCTACCAGGTGCTTTGGAATGTGTAACGAAAGTACCTCGCGCTAAACGCATCAGTTTGCTGGCTGCACATGCTCGCACACCATTCTTACTGCAGGCAAAAAACCAACCACATCAAGCAAAACGAGTGAGTGAGTGAGTGAGTGAGTGAGTGAGTGAGTGAGTGAGTGAGTGAGTGAGTGAGTGAGTGAG